TGGGGCAGCAGCCATTAGCCATGTGCTCAGCAAGGAGCTTCTTCCTGGAAGCCCAAGCCTCTGCTAGCCACACCTAGGATTTCTTTAAACTAACCAATGATAATCAAGGGAAGTGCGCACCATAGACACAACCACATCCTGTGTAACAAGACCCCGACTTGAGCCCGGCCAATCGGCAGGGCCCACAGCCCTCTCTCCTCCCCTTACTCCAACCCCCCTATAAAACCCCTCTCCCCACAGAGCTCTCTCTCTCTCTCTCTTTCTCTCTGCCTCCTGCCGCTGTGTTGGCGCGTGTGGTGGACGGGGAGCTCGAGCTAGCTCTAATAAAGACTCTTTTGCTTTTTCATCGGACTTGGCTGGCTCCCTGGTGGTCTTTTGGGGATCCTGAAATCAGGGCTTAATAGGCACCAGCCAGGTGCCAAGAGGAACAGCCACCCTCTGCCTGCGGGGCCGGCATGGCCTCCAGTCCCGGTCTCTGGGATGGGAGGGCATGCAGTGACCCTCGGGAACTGTCGTCTCAGCCTCAGTTTAAGGAGGAGACAGAGTCTAAGAGCTTACGTGGCCTCTTTGCCCTTTTACAACCAAAGAGCCACCAGTTCTGTCCATCTGGGATCATTTCCTCCCTCTCGTTGCCTCCCTGCTGGCCTCACTGCTTCTGTTCGCGGCATTATTATTTTTTCTGCACCCCTGTGTTTATTGCAGTATTGTTTACAATATCCAAGATATGGAAACAACCTAATTGTTCATGAATGGTTAAGTAGATAAAGAAGTTGTAATTATAGCCCAGCCAGCATGGCTCAGTGATTGAGCACTGACCTAGGAGCCAGGACTCTATCCACTGAGCCAAACTGCCCAGGGGTGATGGCTCCTTTTTTGTTGTTGATGGTCTCACCAAGTTCCTTGAGGGTCAGGCTAAGTCCCTTGGGCGTCCTTATGACCATTGTTTTAAACTCCGTATCTGGTAGTTTGCCTGTTTCCACTTCATTTAGTTCCCTTTCTGGAGATTTCTCCTGTTCTTTCATTTGTGACGTGCTTCTTCATCTTTGCATTTGGGCTCTTCTCACTTTAAACACGCACAGCTCTCTCCAGGCTCCAAGTGGGTCCACCTGCTCCCAAGGCCTTATTGTAGGAGGAAGGAGGCTGATTGCCTAACCCTGGCAGTCAAGGTCTGGTCCAGCACCCCTTCCAGCTGCCTCTCTTGCCTCCCTCCCCGTTAGGTCTGATCAAGTAATTGAATCAACACCCCTCCCCTGGGAGCTGACCTTTAGGCCAATTCACAATGGACAATCCCTTTTGCTTTGACACATCCCATTTGCTAAGACCCTTACCTCTGTGCTCCAGACCTCCCAGAATCCCGCCTTCCCCGAGAGCTTCTGCTTTTGTAACACTGTCTGGTCCCAATATAAACTAGATAATAAGTCTCAATGGCCTAAAAATGGCATTTTCAATTTTAACACATTGCACAATTTACTTTATTTTTATTATTTTTTAAATATGCTTTTATTGATTTTAGAGAGAGAGGAAAGGAAAGGAAGAGAGAGACAGAAGCATCGATGAGAAACATCTACCAGCTGCCTCCTGCAGGCCCCCTACTGGGGATCAAGCCGGCATCCTGGGCATGCGCCCTGAGCAGATATTGAACTGGTGACCTCTTGGTGCCTGGGTCAGTGCTCAACTTCTGAGCCACACCAGCCAGGCCACATTGCGTAATTTAGATAATTGCTGTCACCGCAATGGAAAATGGTCAGAGATTCCCTACGTCCAGGCCTTTTCACCCTTCCGTCCTGACCCTCCCTCTCTCTCGGTCCTGCTCTACCTGTCAGAGCCTTCTTCACACAAAACATCATCCCCTGACACTTCTGATTCTGAATCTACTTTTGATCCAGCAGACCACCAGCCTCTACCCCCTTATGTGCCCCCTCCCTCACCTGCAGTAGGTTCCCCAAACCCAGACCCTCCTAACCAGCAACCACCTTCTCCCCTGGCCCCTGAGAGCCCAAATCCCAAAACACGAGCGTCAGTACAGACTTTCCC